TATATATATCTCAAAAAGGAAAAGTATATGGCAGCGTTTGTTTGTATCATTACCCAGTGGCATTGATGTAAATAGGGTGCATATTTAATGCTGACATACAAGACTCATTGCGTATGTGGACCGATTTTGCCACTTTTTTAGACCTGCAGCTTTTTTGTTCTTTGGACCTTGAATCTGGACTTGATTTGTCAATGCCCCTAATAATAGACGCCTTTGGGTTATTCAGAAATTCAAAATTTGGGGTCCACACTGTAGTTCACTAAGAGGAAAGTAAGTTTCGCAAAGACTCACCCATGTTTGGTGGATTAGAAAGTCTCCCTTCGTGAATCATTTGTTTTAGTAGAATTATAAATACACAATAAATGCTTGTATCTTGAGATATCAGACAAGCATATATACTTCACCAGTTTTGGTTGTGCCTTTATCTTTGTCTGAATACTTGTGCTTCTTCGTCTTCAACATGACTCTAACTAACATGGTTGGAGTAAGGTGCTGCTTCAAACTCCTCTATGCAATTGTGGTGCTGATTTTACTACACATGAACAATCCTTGCATTGGATGCAGCGAGAGGGAAAGGCAAGCACTCCTTGCACTTAAACAAGGTCTCGTGGCTGACTTCTTCGATCCCTTCCTTTCCTGGGGAAGAGAAGCCGAAAACAAAGATTGCTGCGAATGGGATGGAGTCTACTGCAGCAACCAAACTGGCCATGTTGTTAAGCTTAAACTCTATGGTTTGCAAGGTAAGATTAGTCCTAAACTCATTGAGTTGCAGCATTTGGAATATTTGGACCTTAGTGAGAATAATTTCAGTCGGAGCCAAATTCCAGATTTCATTGGATCTCTGAGCAATTTAAGATACCTCGATCTCTCTCTTGCAAATTTTGGAGGTTTAATTCCATATCAACTTGGAAACCTTAGAAACTTGCATTCTCTCGATCTTAGTGATCAAGATTATCTTTCTAGCTCTAATCTCTATTGGCTTCCTAATCTTTCTCGTCTAAAATACTTGGACCTAAGTTTCGTTAATCTCAGTGATGTTGTTGGTTGGCTGGAAGCAGTTAATATGCTTCCTAAACTCACAAACTTGACATTATGGGACTGTAATCTTCCTCCTCCAGTTATATCCTCTATTTCTCTCTTGAATTCTTCTAAATCTCTTGTTCATGTCGATCTCCACAAAAACAATCTGAACTCATCAATCTTCCAATGGTTGCTCGGTACTCAGACCAACCTTGTTTATCTTGATCTCTCGGAAAATAAATTGAGTGGAAGAATACCTGAAACTCGTTTCTCGAAACTCTCCAAATTAAGGTTTTTGGATTTATCCTCTAATTCACTAGTTTTAAACTTCAGTTTTGATTGGGTTCCTCCCTTTCAATTGCGTCAGATAAGATTGGGATCTTGTAAGATGGGGCCGTATTTCCCGAAATGGCTTCGAACTCAGAAAAGTTATGACTGGCTGGATATTTCTGATGCTGGAATTTCTGATACCATTCCAACTTGGTTTGGGGATTTGCGAAATAAAGTCGAGTATATGGATTCGTCTCACAATCAATTTAGAGGAAATTTGAGATCAGAGTTAGCATCTTATTATTTAAATGTGAGTTGGAACCAATTGGAGGGTCCAATCCCTTCAATCCTATCAACCGTATCAATTCTAGATCTGTCCAATAATAAATTTTCAGGGTCAGCTTCATTTTTGTGTACAAGTACAACTGAGAAGAGTAATTTAACCTATCTTGATCTCTCAAGCAACCATGTATCCGGAGAACTTCCAGATTGCTGGATCAATTTTCAAAAATTACACTTCCTTGATTTGAGCAACAACTCTTTATCTCGGAAAATTCCTACCACGATGGGAAACTTGATTAGTATCAGGACACTAAACCTAAATAACAACAGATTTGTGGGAGAGTTGCCTTCACAATTGAAGAATTGCATAGAGTTGATAATTATTGATGTTGGGGAAAATAAGTTATCAGGATTAATACCTGAATGGCTAGGGGAAAATCTGCTAAATTTGGCTATCATTATCCTTCGATCTAATCAGTTTTATAGGAGCATCCCGCCACAGTTATGCTATCTTACACAACTTCAAATTTTGGATTTGTCGATGAACAACATCTCTGGAACTATACCCAAATGTCTCAACACTTTGACTACTTTGGCTCAAAAAGAAAATTCAGCTGTAATTATGCAACATGAATTTATAATTCCGATGGGAGAATTATCTGCTACTTATTGGGGTTATCATGATGATGCAACTTTAACATGGAAAGGAGCAAGGTTAAAATACAAAAGTACTCTGGAACTTGTAAAGAGTATTGATCTCTCATCCAATAAGTTGAGTGGGGAGATTCCTACTGAAATCACTTATCTTGTTGGTTTGGTTTCTTTAAACTTGTCAAGAAACCGGTTAAAAGGTCAAATACCTTCAAGGCTTGGAAATTTGCAGGAGTTGGATTCTCTTGATTTATCAAGAAACCAGATAAATGGCAGAATTCCAACAAGTCTTTCTCAGATATATCGTATTGGTTACTTGGACTTGTCACAAAACAACTTGTCTGGAAAAATTCCAATAGGCACTCAGCTCCAAACCTTTGACTTTGCTTATGGTGGGAATCCTCTGCTTTGTGGAGAACCACTCCCAAGGACATGCTCTGAGGAGGAAAAAGGTCCCAGGACAACCTGTGTTGGTGAATGAAGACGATAAAGATGGGCTCATAACACAAGGATTTTACATCAGCATGGGGCTTGGGTTTGCTGTTGGATTTTGGGGAGTTTGTGGCACTCTTTTGCTCAACAGGTCATGCAGATATACGTACTTCAATTTCTTGACCTTTCTGAACGATTGGCTATACGTGAAGCCAGAAATCATCAGGCAAAGGATCCTTAATAAATAAATGGTAATTACTACTATCTTTCTTACATACTAGTTATGAAATTAAATTATGCAAGTTGTTCCTAACCCCGAATATACATGCAGATATTACAAAACATAAGAAATGAAAACTAAAAACTAAAATTGAAATGATCATTAAACGGGTCCTTAGTTTATGTAATTTATCTTTTTCAATCTTATGGGTTGTTTAACATTTGTCTTTAGCACAGGCACCTTTGAGATGACATGCTTCCCTTCAGTTGAAGATGGATGCGATGAAGGACTCCTATTTGTACTAGTTTTCGAGTATTTGAGTGATGATAAGGGATCTCACTGAAATAAAGGAACCATTTTAGTAGATTAGTTGTGATGTTATTTGTAAGAACTTAACGGGAACTTCTCCCATGAACTATTTGGTATTATGTTCTTGTGTACCTCATGGTGTATGTTTTTTTCTTTCGCAATGTAGGAAATGTAGACGCATAATTGCCTTTTACTATATTGCTGTTATGAATAAAACAATGGAATCTGAGTTAACATATGTCATTATTTGTTGTCTGTGTATGAAAGAAAATACTTGTATTAAAACAGAAGAAAAGAGAAATTGATGATACATTGGGCCTGCTCAAGTTTGCTATATTCTACATTGCGCTATAAAGTATCTTAGTCTCATAAACACAAGCAAATAGCAATAGAAATGAAGAAGGAAAAGACAGAGCAAAAACAAGGGAGAGGATATTGCTCTGGGCACTATCTTTTCTATTTATACAAAAAGACATGTACATATTTTTTTCTTTCTTGAAGCTGCAATTCATTGCAAACCCCCAAAGGGGTAAAGGACAGTACAAACAAAGCCGAGCAAAACACATGCCAGAAAACATACAGGAACAAATCTAGCTAAAACCAGTACAGTATAGCATGAAGATCATGTTCCCAAGCCAAAAACTAAACCGTCACAAGCCAACAAAAAGGCATTTAGCCCACATAAAGGCATATAGCCCACAAAGAGGCATTACACCCACATTCAGCATAAAGCCCACATTAAACATAACATACATAAAATAAAACACATGAAACCTAGTCGCCATAACCAAAGAGAAACTCCACGACTATAGATGGATAAGCCACCAATCACCACCATGAAGAACCAAACACCCTTAGGTCAGCAAACCAAGCCAAACATCCCTCAAAACATAGCCCACTCGAGATTCACTAACAGATTCAGAATTAACCCAACCAATACATCCAAAGGACAGCAGCCAACAAATAAGGAATGAGAAAACCCATTCCACAACCAGGAGGAAAAGAACCAAGAACCTGGAAGGAGGTGGTGCAAGCACCCGAGCTAGAGCTCTACACACCTTCCAATAAATACACGCCAAAACGCGTTTAAAATTTGCAACTGCAAACCAAGGATGAGGCCAGATCAAAATGGAGGTGAAGGAATCCAGATGAGCCATGGATTTTGGGTCGGTATGGAGCAGGACCTCTGAAACTTGACCTCAGGCCGATGGGCAGTCCCCGAGAACGAATAGATCTGAGTAGATCTAAACATGAGAACCAAAATCAGAGCCCACCACCGCGCAGACCGCTGATGGAACAACCAGAAAACCACGAACCCACCAAGATCAACCACAATTGCAGTAGAAAGGAGGGTAAGGAGAGATCTGGACCAAAACCAAACTAGAACAAGGCAAGAGAAAAGTGCGTGAAAAAAATAAAAGAAAACCGCAACAGGGGTAGAGAGAGACGATAGAGAGGAGGGTTGTGAGGAAGGAAAGGGAGGGGAAACAGAACGGGTTGGAAAAATGAAAATGGCCACCAACCCCCAAAGGGGGCGGCGGCTGAGCTTTCAGATAGAGAGAGTTTTCTTTTAGCTGTTTTCAGACATGTACATATTAATAACAACACTAGGAAATTAATTTGAACAACTTGTGCACTAATTCATCAAAAGTCATGAAATGTAAAAAAGAAAAAGAAATTACGCTTCTTTGGAATCAAGGTTTTAATGATGGAGCCAATTGCAAGAGACAGCGGTTATTAAGTAGGAAGTAAATTTTTATTGATTGGCTATGAGATGTGCTTTATGACAGATTAAAATTGCAGAAGTGAAGCTTCATAAGGAACTATACAAACAGATGACAGCAAAAACAATTTCCTGGAAAAAGATGTAAAAAATGTACCACAATTTGCACTGGTGGGTGCCTTGGCTTTAGATTTGGACCGATGGTGATGACGACCACCATGAGTAGGGTGAGGAGAAGGCAGAGAAGTCAAAATCTTAATGAAAGCCCTTGATATCGGCATCAGAAGTCAAATGATTGGTAGCGTCTATAATCCGGTTTTTTAAACTTTTTTTAAAATTTATAGTATAGCCGCGCGGCTGTAAAAGTTTTCCCTAAAAGAAGAGAGCCGCCTAGTACGGCCGATCGGCTATACGGAAGTCAAAATCTTAATGAAAGCCCTTGATATCGGCATCAGAAGTCAAATGATTGGTAGCGTCTATAATCCGGTTTTTTAAATTTTTTTAAAATTTATAGTATAGCCGCGCGGCTGTAAAAGTTTTTCCTAAAAAAAGAGAGCCGCCTAGTACGGCCGATCGGCTATACTGGTGTTTTTATAATGTTTTTAATAAATAGTATAGCCCTTGGCTATACTCTGATGTTTCTTTAAATTTTTTTGAAATTAATAGTATGGCCGCGCGGTAGCTGAGATTGCTATGAAATGGACTAAAGTTCTGAGAAATGGAGCTCGTGGGGTGAGATTCATGGGTGTTGATCTAAACACAATCATGTTCAACATGGAACGAGGCCAAGACATGACAGAGGTATGTTTCTTTCATCCCCACTGTGTCTTTTAGCCTCCAGATCAGAGAGAATGAGAATCCTTTGTGTCTTGCTGGAGAAATTGCTCCATGATTTGTAGATGTCTTTCGTTTCTTAAAAATGCTTTTCACAACAAAGAGAAAAGATTGAAGTTTTTAGCTTTTGCACGAGCTTCTGCTTTCTTTTGTTCTTATAATGTTTTATCCCTTTCTTTCCCTCTAGTCTCCAGTTGAAGGAGTTTGCGTTGAACCAACCTGAGGCCTATGAAATAAGGATTGGCGATCAAGTTTTTCGAAGACCTCTGGAGGAAGTTGTTGAGAAGCTCCAGAATGAGAAAAAGAGAGTGGAGAATGACAGTCCAGCAGAGAGCAATAGGCATTTGAAAGAGGAACTGTAGTTATACTTGTAAGTTTTCTGACATGCAATATAATGACCATTTTTGTAACTCCATAGCAACCTCCACTCTAAATATTCATGTATTACTATTCAAGATGATTTTAGGCTGCTGATGATGCTGACGGATATGCAAAATGACAATTGTAGACACGATTATTTATCGAGATTCCGTTTTTATCTATTTATTTTAATGGAACCAGTGCATAAAAACTGCTCAAGAGTAGGTAGGCCATCTATTTTCTCATCAGTGCGGGATATCCCAGACCAGTTAGTCACTTGCAGGTGTAAAAGGTAAGTATTAATATAATGACCATTTTTGTAACTCCATAGCAACCTCCACTCTAAATATTCATGTATTACTATTCAAGATGATTTTAGGCTGTAAGATTCTGTTCAACAGATTACAACAGAGGAATTACATAAAATTTCTGACTGTAAGATTCTAAGTCTCTGACAACGAAGTTTGTCGTTTGCAGTTTAAATGAATTAATACATTCACAGCTGGATAGGGAATAAGAAGAAGAACAGTATGAAAAAGAAGCTACTTCAACTTCTTACTGAAGTCAGAAAGCTCAAGGATCCGAATCCTGGGAATTGTAGCTGCCTCCTCCCATTCCTTCTGTGTATTGTACCCCCAACCCCCTGATCCAATTCATCCCAAATTAGCAACCGCAGCGAATGAGTACCACAATGAAGCACATACAGCAATATAATAGACAAGTTAAAAGAGTCTGTGTTTGATAAGGGTAAAGGGAGAATTTTACCTAGATACAAATTCCAAATACAGTATGAAAAAGAAGCTACTTCAACTTCTTACTGAAGTCAGAAAGCTCAAGGATCCGAATCCTGGGAATTGTAGCTGCCTCCTCCCTCTCCTTCTGTGTATTGTACTCCCAATCCCCTGATCCAATTCATCCCAATGAAGCACATACAGCAATATAATAGACAAGTTAAAAGAGTCTGTGTTTGATAAGGGTAAAGGGAGAATTTTACCTAGATACAAATTCCAAATATCCAATTCAGGTTCTTTGATCACATTCTTTAGGGTTGCCAGTCGATCTTCGACAAAGCTGGTCAATGTTGAGCGTATATTATCGAAAATTCTGAGTATTTAGTATCTTATAAAAAAAATTCAAATACGAAGCAGAAAAGTTTCTTACTGCAGTTTCAGCCCCTGATGTTCTGGTTTCTTTTGAAGCTGTTTCAATACATAAGAGTAAAGTTCCACATTAGGGAAAAACGACCACAGGCATAAGTACCAAAAAATTCAAACACAGTTAAAATCAAGTTAGTTTCCACTAACCCACTTCCACGACCAAATATTCTTTCAGGCGGTATTGCAACTCCTGCAAGTCCTCGTAGTAAAGCATCAGCAAATCGGCGCAAAAGTTCACATTTACAGCAACCACAACATTTTCAGTCTTTAATTGGATTGTGTCAGAAAGAGAACAAAGATAATCACACCTGTTTTGTGGTGACAATGTATATGGTTGAGCTTGCAAATTTTAGAGCATCAGGAACACCTGGATACAATCTGCAAGCAAATTATCTCCTACTTAGATATGCATTGAGCCCTCCCAGTCCCAACAAGTTTGAGAAGAGACTAGGATTATGTTAAGGGGTTTTTTGTTTAACTAGGCTAATCTAATGAGAATCAATCTTTCAATTTGGCTCTTTTGTTTTGTTTGGTACTCAATGTCACTCAGAGAAACTCTTTCGAGAGATAGTGACCACAAAGACTGAATAAAAAAGTATTAACAGTCATATATATATATATATATGTAGGTTGAAAAAAGAAGAAAACATATACCTAAGTTAATATTTTTGCTCATTTCTCTCTCAATCATATTGCAATATAAATACAGTGTCACTCAAGCATTAACCAGTTAGTAAGTTAATTATTACGACAATAACCATTTGTTTGGAATCATTCGCAATATCATTTCACGATCCGAACCGTTCAGTTTGTCCATTACTCAAAAAACCCTATTCAAAAAGCAAACAATCATAAACTTAACTATAAGCCCTAAACAAGCTTTGGCATATAACAACAAAAGTACCATAAGTGACATTGTAAGTACATATAGTAAAATCTAAATGCTCAGAATTACACGTGTTTCTTGAGATGTCATATTTCACAATTCTATATGACCTTATTAAAAGTCCTAATAAGGGATTCGTGAACCTTACATTACTAATCCTAACAAATTTGTTGGCTAATATGTGGCCCAACAAATCATTAGAATTAGCGAAGTGCCTTGGCTAGAAAGCCTTGATATTGAGAAGGATCCTATGTCTTGTCTTTTTTTTCTTTTTTTACCCTTTTTTTTTTTTACCCGAACAAAAAGAAAGAAAAAAAAAAGAAAAAGAGAAAAGAGACAATTCCTTTATAAGGATAAAAGTACATAATCTAATTAACAGTTTCTTTAATTTTTTTTAATGAACAGTTTCTTTAACTTTGTCTAACTTGCATTAAAAAAAAAAAAGGTTGTTCCCCCCAAAAGAAAGAAAGAAGTGTTCATGCCACTCAAATGTCAAAACCTATATATACCAAAACTACCATTTTCCCAACACTTTCCAAACCCCTTCCCAAATCTTCACTTCACACAAAGCATGCCAAACCCAAAACCACCATTTCCCTTTCTCTTCGCCATTCTCTTCTTCTTCATTCTACCCCTTATCTTTTCCCAAAATGGCGAGTATGTCCGGTTCGCCGAGGCAGGAAAGCGGAGAGTCCATATCACTGACGACCTGGACGACGTCGTAGACGAAGAAGAGGACGATACTTGGAAAGAATGGGGCAAGAAATCCACCCTCTTCCGATTTCGATCCGCCCCCTGATTTGTCCAAAATGGACATGTCCGAGATCCAGGCGGAGATGATGAAGCGGCATACCGGCCCGGCTTTCGGGTTTGTGAAGCTCCGGCTGGGCGTCAAACGGACTCGGGTAATCCGAATTTGCTCTTCCCCTTCGTGTTCTTATTGGGTTTCAGCTTGAATTGAATTGGGTTAGTTTCTATGTTGGCTCTGATATAGTAACACGTAGTTTGGAACCTCAATTTGATAGTTTTAGTGTAATCAGTGAAACGAGTTTTTTTTAGCATGAATTTAGATCAAACGTTCACTGTTGAATTGAAAGAGTATTGAGAAGTTGATTGGAAGTTTTTTTGATATGGAATTGGACTTGAACATTTATGTGAAAGAATTTGGTTAAAATTGGAAATTGTGGATTAATGTGTGGAAATCTACTGATAAGTACTAGTTTTGCAAATTGCAGGCTGCCCAAAATGCACTATCAGAACACTTTTTTAGATTGTGAACCATGAATTGAGCACTTGTTATAAACTTATATCTTTATTTTTGTAATTCTTGTCGTAGTCTCTAGCTTTAGATGTTAAGTATGAGCTTAAGTTGGTGTAATGGCTTTATAGGTAATAGAAATGACTTTGTTAATATTTTATTTTCAACTTTTGATGGTTTGCTATGTAATTGATTGAGGCTTTCAATTTGGCTTCAAATGAATGGTAAATTTAGTAAGGGCTTCTTTTCCCCTCGCAGGATATGGTGGCTGAGATTGCTAAATGGACCAAAGTTCTGAGAACTGGAGCTCTTGGGGTAAGATTCATGGGTGTTGATCTAAACACAATCACAAGGCCAAGACATGACAGAGGTATGCTTCTTTCCCCCCACACTGGGTCTTTTGTCCTCCAGATCAAAAGAGAATGAGGTTCCCTTGTGTCCTGCTGGAGAAATTGCTCCTTGATTGTAGATGTCTTTCATTTCTTAAGAATGTTTTTTCACAACAAATAGAAAAATCTGAAGTCTTGGGCATGGCTTACCTGTCCATAAGAGAGGTGTTGCATGCCAATTAAACTCATGTCTTGCTTAGCATACTTTTTTGAATTGATGAGCTTATTATTGCTGATAATGAATTTCTTTGATTGGATGATGACCTGATTATTGTAGATCACGAGCTTCTCCTTTCTTTTGTTCTTATACTGTTTTATCCCTTTCTTTATCTCGATTCTCCAGTTGAAGGAGTTTGTGTTGAACCAACCAGAGGCCTATGAAATAAAGATTGGCGATCAAGTTTTTCGAAGACCTGGAGATCCTCCGTTGGAGGAAGTTGTGGAGAAGCTCCAGAATGAGAAAAAGAGAGTGGAGAATGAGAGTCCAGCAGAGAGCAATAGGCATTTGAAAGAGGAATTGTAGTTATACCGGTAAGTTTTCTGACATGCAATATAATGACCCCTTCTCTGACTCCATAGCAACATCCACTCCGAATATTCATGCATTACTATTCAAGTGGATTTTAGGCTGTTGATAAAGCCGACATGATTAGTTATCGCAATTCTGTGTTTATTTATTTATTTTAATTGAACCAGTGCATAAAAACTGCTCAAGAGTAGGCAGGCCATCTATTCACCACACCTCTTGAACCACTTTGGAACTTCATTGCCTGAAAATTTAATATCGAATGTAGAGCCCTGAGAAAAAGAATTTCAGAGACTGAAGTTCGCTACAACATATAACAGAGATGCGCAGCAAAATATTAATTGCTAAATTTGAATTGAACAAAAAAAAGAGAGAGTAGATAATATGACCAGAAAATATTAATGCAAAGATATCATTCAACATTTAATGGATCAATTTACATACTTTTGGTCCTCATAAATATCAATATGTCTCTGCTTTGGCTGATCCATAGGTTCTGAAGATGATGAGCAAAGCCTTTGCTCTTCTTCTGATCCACGAGGGCTCTTCTTCCCAACACTAGTTGTTGATTCATTCATCATCGTTATATCATCATCGTCAACCTGTACCTGGTGGCCTAATAGGTGAATCCTGCAGCTTTTAAAGCCTATCGGCCCTCCATCTGGGTCTGGGAAGTTAAATATAACTTGAAATCTATGCGTATTAGTATTACCCTGCTGCATCGGCATCTTTCTTCCTTTCCCTTGCGGATCCAAATCCAATAATGGAATACACTTGAGCCACATGAGTTTCCTGTGTCTCTGTTGGAGGATCATGATAACTAACACATAGAAGTAAACTTAATGTCGACTCCCATTTTACATTTGGAGGAATTTCAAAACAAACTTCACATCCAGCAACGTGTTCCTCATCTGAATCAGGATCTACTTCAACTACATTTGCATCTTTACAACACCTGAACCACTTTGGAACTTCATTGCCTGGAAGTGTTATTTCGACTTCATTGCCTGGAAGTATAATTTCGGATACAGAACGCGGTAGCTACATTAATAGAATAGAATAGTTACGGTAATCATCATGTTAACGAAATAATTGAGAGAGAGAGAGAGAGAGAGAGATTATAGAACAGAAACCTGATTCAGAAAAATATTTTCTATAACGATGCCGCGTAGTCTAAAGCAATTGACCAAATCCAGCCACCGAACCCCCTGGGCCAATTTTGAAAGCAATTGACCAAATCCAGCCACCGAACCCCCTGGGCCAATTTTGAAATTTTTTCCAATGATGTGCAATTAAGCAGGTATAACCAAGCTACTCTTGGTGGAAGCTATGTAGCACGGACACTCCATCAGGCCGAAGTGTCGGAGTGTCGGACACGCGGACACGCGGACACGCCCCGGACACGGCTTGGACACGGCTTGGACACGGCTTGGACAAGGGTCAACGGTCAAGACACGGTCAAGACATGTTTTGGACACGGTCAAGACACTTTTGGACACGGGTCAATGGAAGTCAAAGACACGGCAGGGACCCATTTGAAAATTTAAAATAAAAATGTGGGTTTTTGGTTTTAGATGTAGGTCCTTTGACTTTTATTATTTTTTTTGTTATGCCGATTTTACCCAATCAGGTAAATAAGGAAAACACATTGAAAATCTAAATTTAATGCATTATTTCCTCATAAATGAATTTCAGATTTTAAATTTTGAATTATTTCCTTGATAATATTTACCTAATATATGGATAAAATACAATTTAATTAATGAAAGTAAAAACCCACATGAAATTATGTACCTAATATACAGGTAAGTTGTGTTATTATTAGCAATGGAAAAAACTTAGTGATAAATCGTGTTACCCATAAGTCAGGAACATAAATTAAAAGACTACCTATAAGTTAGGAACATAAATTAGAAGACAACATATAAGTTGGATACAAAAATAGACAAATAAAAAACGTATTTTACCTATAAAAAAAAAAGGTACATAAAATAT